CCAATTCTGCAAAACAAGGGGAATACTGATTGGGTGCAACATTATGCCAGAGGCACATATGGACAACACTAGGCTCTAAAGATGAAGTCTGGTTACAGATTTTAGCTGAACTAGTGTTTTGGATTAAACAACCAAAATCAAGCAAGCAATGTTCCATTCTGAAATAATTCAAGGAGTTTATCTTCCAACCCCTGCTCAGCAAAAAATCCTCATAGCTCTCACATTCTTGTTTGCACAGTCAAGCTTCTGCAGGGGAGCTATAAGGTACTGTTACCTAACATACCTACGTGCTTACAGCCCCGTGGTTAAAGCAGTTTCTCTGAGTGAGAACCAGGCTGAAGCTTCTTAGACTGAGGAAGGCTAAGTACTCAGGTCTTCCACTTCCTTTAATGGTCTAACTGGGTTATAATACCAGAGACCTCTCCCTTCCTTGGCTAAAGTTTGAAAGAAAATGTCCCATGGCTAGTATGCCCCGCACTAGACCCAAAGCTGCAGCTCTGCTATAAGTGCTCCATGCGCCATGATCTCCACAACATCTGCAATCACTGTGCAAGGCTCCTCACCCTAGGGTGCTCCTGTGAAATGGCTTACACGTCCTGGGAGCAGCAGCAGCAATGGTGGTGCCATGTGGGTTTATGACTGAAGCAAGGGCCTTTTGGATCAGATTTTGGGGGCTTGGCTCCTATCTACTGCCAACCTACTGAAATCCACCCAAATAGACAAATGTGTCTCGATCTCGTTCTTCAATTCTTGGGTGCCTTCCTGCCATCCAAATGAAAAAGACTCCCTCTTCAGTTCTCCCTATATATTCACATCTCACAATTCTATAGGGAATGAAGAGTCACTGCTACTTCTTGGAGAAAGTGCAGAACAAGTAAAATGTCCTTGTCTAATACCCTAATATCATTAGTCTTTTCTTCACTCATGGCAACAATTATGGGCATCCTTCCCAGAGGCTGGTGATACACACTGACTGTGAAGGACTATTTGTATTTCTCAGAAAAAAAACCCAAAGACCTTCAAAGAGCACCCTTTTTCTTTTAACCTAACAGAAAGCCTGCTGACAAGGAGTTTGTTTATAATATTTATCTAGGCCATAAAAAAGATCTTGAAAGATATATCACAAACAGTAAGCCTTTGTTCTTAGACTGGCCAGATAAAGGCCAACCGCTATTGTAAAAATTTGTACTGCTGCTGTTATCTGATTAGATCAAATCTACTTACTGAAACAAAAATAAAGCTCCAAGCTTTTGCCCAGGCTCTAAGCCATCATAATGTATGCGTTTGTGCTCATAAAAAGCTGCGCAGTATAAACACACTTTCTTTCATGGGGCCCCTCTAGTCAGTTACAATCTAAAAAAGAAACAATTTCATTCATCGGATGATTAATGAACGTGCCCCTTCCCACCCCTTCAGCCTCTCCCTTAAGCTGCTAGGATGCTTAACTCAAATACAGCATTTTCCAACTTAAAATCAGGAAGCATGTTATAAGGCAAGTGAGTACTGTGACAGTTCCTATCATTGATGGGAAAAACCTAAAACAATAAGGCATTTAATGACCTGACATAGCAGAAGGATCATAAAAAAAAGCCACTGGTTTGTGTAATCAGAAGCTATCTACGGGATGTAATAATTGAGTTCCTGTTCATCATCTAGCTCTATCTGTATTTATTTGTTTTGATGTCCCCTCAGATTATATGATGAGATGTGGACACGCAAAGACTGTGATTCCTCTATTCTTACTATATTATAACAGATCTTTAAAAGAAAGCAGTCTCCAGAAGGATGGGAAAATAAACCTGGAAGTATAGACTAAAACATGCCTTGGGCTATTTCTCTGGGGGACAGAAGTAAACTGTATAGGCACAGGGAGGGTGCTGTCGCCCCAGACTGCAGCCCCTGGTCCCAGCTCAGTTGTTTTTAGCTGCTAGCACTGCTTTGAGCATCTCCCTCCCGAGCAGAACCAGCATGCTCTTCTCCCTGCCTGCGCAGCCCGCTGGGCTGGCTGTTCCAGTGAAGCGCCCCAGCACTGGGCACTGGTCATCTGCCAGCCCCAGGGCAGCCCAGGCTCCTCCACCCCTGTGCCCGACAGGGGATGATGGAGGCAGAGAGACCCTCAGCTAGGCTTGAGAAGAGGACCAGCAAGGTTTCTTAGGACCTGGAAGAGCATAAGGAAATTAACTTCTGGAAGCTTCAGTGAAGACAGTGAAAATTCCCGTGTTTGGTTTTTTTTTTTTTTTTCAACTCGGTGCTACGGTTGTTTCCCAGCAGAGACGCTTGTTCAAAGCTGCACAAACCACCCCGGGGTGGTCACAGTCACCACTCAGGTATTCCTGTCTCACACCCTGAATCCATGTTGACTTGCTTTTTCTTTGAAAATTGTCATGTGATAACTGCCTGGTCTAGGCCACTCCCAGGAAGTAGTGTTTCCCTCCTGTTAGTTTCCCTTCCCTCTTAGCTATCATTTCAGACTGTCTTTTTCACAAAGTGGATTTAGCCCAGGGACAAAATGGGGTTTTTTTGTGCTCGCAGGATAATTAGAAGCAGCCAGGATTAAAACTCTCACCTGGAAAAGATCAAAGTGATAATAGGAAAGGACTCTCAAGAATGACAGCTGAGTTTTTAACTTAGAGGAGGCCAGCTTTCACAGATGGGACACAAATTCTTGAGGAAGCAGCAGTGAGTGGAGAAGCAGCATTCAGACTGTAACTCCTTGGGTCACAAGCAGAGCTCTGTACAGCCTTACCTGCAAAGCAAACCTTTTTATAAAGCTCATCAGCACTGTCATGCCTGTGAAATAGTGGTCAGGCATAAAACAGCAGTAATGGTTCGGTAGCTGAAGTCAGCGAAGATGACTAAATGGCTAGGTGGAGGGGAAATGGCATGGTTGCCACACCTGCACTCCTGGGACCCAATCTGAGCACATTATTTATTAAGGAACTATTAAAAGAGTATGGAGACTGGTGCCTAAATACGTGGAGCCAAACGGAACAACCGATAACAAAGAGATCTTTGCTGTTATAAGCATGTTCTTTGCGCGTATGTTTTAAAAAGGCAATCAAAAGATAACAAGCTGCAAATGTTCAGTGACAAAAGGACCATAAATATAGTACAAAAGAGAGACAGCCAGCCAATCTGCCCAGCATTTAAGTGAAGTTAGAAACCCGCTCCACTCTTCCCTGGAATGGAGATGTTGAAAGGATACCTTCTGAATTTCTTTGAAACAGGCTTAGATCAGAATAAATCCGAGTTAGGTCTTAACTTGCCGATGGAGAAAAACGTGAAAATTGCAAGTATAGCTGATGTGACTTTGTATTGTGGAGCCTGATGTGCAAAGGAGATCTAACACGTGAAGAAGGTAGAAAAGCAGCTAGTAGCCTTTCTGAAACAGTTCCTGTGTGAGGCTGTTGGCGAGTTAGCTATTTCATTGACTCACAGTATGGGAGTAGAGTCCTAGGGCTCACCTGCATATGTATCCCAGGTCAGGTCCTGATCTGCTCATTATCCTTGTACAAGATGGTCCCAACCCAACCAAGAAGGATAGCTGTGCCACAGGCTAACCTGCAGGAAAGGCATTTAGAGTGGAAGCAGGAGACTGAATTATACACTCCATACAGTGCATGTGGAAAGATATGCACCTGATTTCTGAATCAATAAAAGACCTGCAGTCAGACACCAGAAACCCCCGTGAAAGTTATATTTTAAATTCTGTCCCTACCCAGCTCTTTCTGGAGAGAAAGCTAGCAATGTTTTCATTTAGCGCATTAATCTACCATGTAAAGCAGCTACACTCAGTTCTGGTTTCTACACAGTGCAATACCAAACCCTTTTATCTCACAAATACCCATTAACTGTGGAAGCATTGGTTATTTTGGACTGGAGGCACTCTCCTCCTCTTCTGTTACAGCTTTTCCAACTGAGTGAGTAACGTTCAAGATTTGCTAAATCGAAATACGTGTTTCAGCCTAATGAGGGGGCTGGGGGATGCTTTGTATGGGGGCCAGGGGAGGGGAGGGAGGAGATCTGCTCTGGGCAGATTCCATATTCTGATGACTACACACATGTTCAACCCAGAAACCATCCTGAGAGAACAGCCTGGAGGCCCTTCTTGCCCTCCCCTCTAGTTCCCGCCTCTTACCATCTCAGTCGCCTTCTAGAAGTTCTCCCACGATGACATAGCTTCAAAAGGAAGCTGAAGACTGCCAGAGCGAGTCTGCTGCCAATTAGGAGGAAGACATATCTCTCATTTGCCCTCAGGCAGACGATGGAGTTGAATGAACTCTCCCATGACCTGAGTGAAACTCCTAGCCATAAGCCACCGAATGAAAGGTGTACAGTAACAATTCACCACTCCATTTTAAAACAAAGCAGCAGCCACTGCTGCGTTTTGGGCTGGGTCTGAGCTAGAAGCATGCCGACATCAAAACACCCATGCAACGTCAGCTGGATTAGAAGCTGACGAATCAGCCCTGTCAGACTCGGGCATTGCTGGGTATCTGCAAAAGCAAAATGTTTTGTGCTCGAAGGCTGAGGCGAGGGGTGGGGAACCCTGCTGACATCCAGCAAGCTGGACTCTTCCAGGATCAGGTGCAGGTGAGCCTGTGCCTCATCAAGTCCTACCTCGGATGCCTTTGTGCCTTTTAGGAACGTTATACCCCATGGATCTGTTTTTTTCCCATAAAACTAGCGTACCAATCCTTGTCTGCCTTAGGAGAGGAAAAAAAAAAAAATGCTAAATAACATACTCCTTTGAGAAATGCAAAGCGCAAAAAAATTCTCCCAGGGGTGGATAACACATCTTCTTTCTTAGCGGTTCAAAGAGTAAAGGCAGAGGGTGGAAAGGGCAGGAGACACCTGGACAACCGTAGGCT